CCCACTGCGTGTGTGTGTGCATGCGTGTAAGGCAATGAGAATCCACTAGGTGTCTCAGTGTGTTTATATTATGAGCTTGTATCAGTGTGCAAGTGCGATTTCCTCCAAAAATCACGACTCCTTTACTACCATCCCACCAGGACTCTCTTCTCTTTTCCTCCCCATTGCTCTTAGTTTCTTTCATTCTCTTCTTCCCTTCCCTTTGCACCCATTTTTTCACCTTTCTCTTCTTTTTGCTTTTTTCCTCTCATCTCCTCCCTTCTTTCCTCCCTTTTCTTCTCCCTTTTCTTCCACAGATTACTTCAGTTAAATCTTACTACTGCCACATATTCTTCCATGTGTTCTTTCTCAGTGAAAAACAGACACACAGAAGTAGATTAAGAAGAAAAGCATAGAAGGGAGAGAAAAAAGCTAAAGAAATAGCAGGTGAGAGAAAGCCTGATGAGAAAGATTAAGGGGGGAAAAATGGGAGAGAAACACAACTAGAACAAAAAGCAGGACTAGAAAGACAGTATAGGTCAAAGAGCGTTAGAGAAAAGATAAGGGCAAGAGAGCGTTAGAGAGAGATAGTTAATGTGTGTGTGTGTGTGTGGGAGAGCGAGAGCGAGAGGGATGGAGGGAGAAAAGGAGGGATGGAGGGAGGAGGGGTTTAATCCTGCCTGGATTATGGTATAAACTGGTGCCGGAGAGCAGGAAGAGATATGCTGGAGAGAGAGAGAGAGAGAGAGAGAGAGAGAGAGAGAGAGAGAGAGAGAGAGAGAGGAAGTCCCAGTATCCCTCTATCCATCATTCCATCTATCTTACTCTCCATCCGGTAGCGTATTCGTGTCCCAGAGCTCCATGAATTTGGTTTGGATCCACCGGGATGTGAGGTCAGCAGAAAGGAGCCATTCAGGAAAAAGGACAGCAGCAGAAAAACCTGGAGTCTCTTGGGAATATGGAAATGTGTGTGTCCTTCTTGGGAATACTGCATGATAACAAGGACTGAACTCGTGTGAAGACAGAAGTTTTAGAGTCTTTTAACGCTCTCCTTTTTTTGCCCGGCATCCTGTAGATCCAAGAGAGGGAGCATGGAGGAGAGAAGTGGATGATGGGAGGTGTAGGAATAGGATTAAGAGGTGTAGGAATATGGCGAGACTCCGTTGTGACTCCTGGTGTGCAGAAGTGACCTTTGACACCGGAGAAACAAGCTTTCTAGACTCTGTTGTATGCCGGGGAAACCAGCTGAGCTGACATCAAATCATCAATCAGACACTTTTTATTTGTTATTAGTCATATCTGAACTTTCTTTTCAGACCCACACGTCTCAAACGGAATGGTTTTAAAGCTCTCAACCACATGACATAGTGAGTAATCTTCGGTGCCATTCTGTCTATAATGATTTGGGGCCGTATTTTAATCTTCCCGCAACCCACTTTTGGGCTCCAGCTTGTGTTTCTTTTAAATTAGCATCCTGCATTTCTGGACAGCAGTTGTGATTGTTCCAATCTTGTGTCTTTACAGGGAAAGCAGCTCAAGGACTGTGGCTTCTCACTGTCATTCTTTGAAAGTTTTACAATCTGTGACTGCTTGTAGGATGACATATTTTCTCTGTAGTTGGATGTTGCGTCTGAGCTTTCTAGATCCTTTGCATTTCCAGAGCAGGCCTCAGACTGTCACAGACTCTCCACATGTCACTATGGATTCCTGTGTATTTTAGACTGCTCAGTCACAAAGTCTGCCTCTCTTCAACTCTCTGGAGAGTTTCAAGATTTGAGCTATACGCATGTCTTTGAGAAATCTGTGGATTGGATCTTTACATTTTTGTTACAATTACTTTACCAGGCAAGTTGACAAAAAGTGTTTATGTGCTGTGTGTGTTAGATTTTCCCTTTAATTAAAAAAAATAGTGTCCTTATGGTATGAAATTGTGCCCAAATTTGTCTTCAAGCAGGCTGTTGCTCTTGTCACTCCAATGCAGAACATAAAATGCTTGTTAACAGCAAAGATATTTTTTGAGTTGGTCTGTGAATTTTTTATCAATTTATACAAGTAGCATCCTTGCAGATTTCTAAATGTTCACAGATTGTTCTCAAGCTGTTATTGGGGCTTTCCTCCCATGGACACGACAGTCATCAGCTACTCATTGCACTTTTAACGCTTCCCTCTTTCTGTGTTTGCACTGTGACCTAAGCACTTCTAATCTCACTTTGCGCTGTCCTAATTTCATCCTATGTCTCTTGGAGCCAGTGTGCAACAATTGCTGGACTGATGCAGATCGTAGCAGCTGCAGGGATGAACCGCTGGAGCTGGGGAAATGCTGGGAATGCTAGTAAATCAGACAGAAGTGGGCCGCACAGAGGGAGGCTGATGATGCTGCTGTGGATTATCCTCTCCAGCTCGCTGTGCCTGATGGTCGACGGACAGATGAAGATCCCACCAGAAACGTGAGTACGGTTGCACAGAACAGCCTGACACTGACCTTTTACCCCCAGGGACTGAGGACCATCAGGGGGAACCATTTCAGTCGGATCAAGTTCTGATGCACAAATGCAGATCATGCAGGTTTTGTGAGACCTCACTCAATAAAACTTCATTCATATTGATTAATATTTGATAACAAAAGTTTGATCAAGGTGTAAAAGAACTGCAAACAAATACTCTTCTTCACTGTTTTTGCACCTACACTTTCATCCCTACAATATACTGTATTTAACATGGAATAAAGGAAAATCTGCGTAGCCAGAGATGGCCGTAAACCTCGTGCTTTATGAAGACATTACATCATTAATTGTATCAGGTCATTTCCCTGTGGACACCCTAGCAGGTCTACATGCAGCGTTTTCCTTCTTCAAGCCACACGTCAGATGGATGAGTCAATAGTGTTCTTTCTATTTTGGCTGGTTACTCCACACAGATACATATGGGCCATATGGGCACCTGTGGGGTATAGCTGACAGCCAAACCATTCTACAGCCTCTCTGCAGCCACAGCCAAACAAGTTAAAACTGACGTATACATTTGGCCAATTCTCCTATTAACAGAAATAATAAATGTAGAGATATTAATAATAAAAACAAAGTTTAATAAATATAGATATGGTGGTGATTATGTTTCCTATTTAATTTTGTTTTGTTTTCCACCAATTTTTCAATTTTAAAACCAATGGGAATTTGCAATTCAGGTTGAATTTTAATCACTTCAAAATGTCAGTTTGCCCAGCACTAACCTACCTGCACAAAAAATAACATTCCCATCAGCCTCAGCTATATTTTTGTTTAGTACGAAGTAGCATGCTGAACTAAGATGATTAATATAGTAAACATCAGCATTATATGTCAATTGACTGAATGTACAGTGAAAGATTACAGTATGTATGACTGCATTTGACATATTGTCTATCTTTGAATAGTCTCCCCCTGCGCAACAGCAAGAAATAATAATGAAAAAACAGACTCACTGCTTAAATTCACATTATGTCACATAGGAAATTGCGCAGTTTGGTGTGTGTGATCTACTGGGAGCAGTGTTGATTGTGAAGTCTGACAGCGGCAGGAAGGAAGGAAGGACCTGTGGTATCTCTCCTTCACACACTGCAGGTGAAGCAGTCTGTCACTGAAGGAGCTGCCCAGTGCTGTCAGAATGTCCTGCATGGGGTGGGACATGTTCTTCAGCAGGGATGATAAGCCATCACTCTCCTTTCTCACAACCTCCTGGGTTGAGGGGCCATCCCAGTACAGAGCTGGCCTTATTAGCCCGCTTCCTGTCAGCAGTCGAGATGCTGCTGCCTCAGTTAAATCTTAAATTAATATTATCACCCCTCTTCTGTGTCTTTGTTTATGTGAAATTAAACCATATTTTTTAAATTGTTCATATTCTACCTGGGTTAAGTGGGTGTCTTGTAGGAATATTATTTGTACTTTTTCAATGTTTCCTCCCAGTTGTATTTAGACAATTCACATTTAGCGACAATATCTTCGGTGCTAATCGACAATTAATCGCTCAGCATATCCCAAATACAAATATGGCTTTTACACAATGGACTACAACAACTCATAATGCTTAATGTGTTTTATTTTCACACCAGCGTTCACTTATATTTGTATTTATTTTTGGAACGAAAACACTGCGTTTGTTTGCTCTCCAAAAGCCAGACAAAGCTCTTTTCCCTGAGCAGTTTTCAAACCTCCTGCTGACTAAAAACAGTAACAGATCGATACAGCGCTGTCAGTCCACAATAGCCTATTAACTGTGTGTTGGTGTGTGTGTATGTGTGTGAAAGTGGAAGGGGCTGAGAGGGACAGAAAAACTCACTGCATTTTATTGCTATACTCGCACTGGCTGGATATTTGTGTTTGTATGTGTGTGTGTCAGTACATACTGTAACATATTTGGTTAATTGAATTCATGTCCAGTAGATTTATCACCCAAAACCATATCAGCAACTGTTGATTCTGCAGTTTCAGGATACATTTTGTTTATGTGTGAGTTTTGTACTTACGCAGCTCAGAGAGTGTCTGCTGTCACTGGGCAGGCTGGTGTGACTCAGGGAGATTAAAGCTCCGGGGACAGCAGAGTTCAGCAGGCCAACACAGGCCACTGAGCCCAAAGGGTTTCACTCTGCCTAAGATTTGGCAGCAGGGCCCTCCTGGCTTTGGAAGTTAGCGGGCCATGACTGGAACATTTCAGGCCAAGAAAGTCAAATCTTTAGCCTCGGATAGAACATTGCTCTGCTGCCACGAGGAAACCAGATAACTGGTATTAAAGACTAACTAAAGATATCAACAGCAGGGACACATTGTTTAAGCAACAACTTAGCAACTTTTGCTGACAGTAACACTCCACCATAGAAGCATGTGATTCCCTCTCAGTCAAAAATGAGATTTGTCATTTTTCTATGTCATAAAATTAGGAAAAGGCTTGGTCTGTAAAAGGAAATATGTTTTTTCCAGGTCTCACAGTGAGCAGCTGCATTTTGCCCTTTTAGGGTAGAGAGTTAATTACTGTGCTTGACCCTGTGTCTGCCTAAGGCTCTGTCTTAATCTGCCCTTGCTTGGCCTGTACAGTGGTGCTTTAGCCCAGGCCAACAGCATACAGTCTGAACGCATTACAGGGAGAGTGCAACAAACGTTATTTAACCATCTAAATCCCCCATTTATCTGTCAAATCATTTGGTAACTACCTTAAAACAGTCAATGGAGCATGTGATAGCCCTGAACAACAGAAGAATATTTACAGTACACTTGATGTTATCAATCCTCTTATTTTAGAATGAACCCACACTCACATTTCTGAATAAACATATCAACAAGTCAACAAATTATCAGCAATTTTTTGAGGACCGAGCCTGGCAGGCTAGCTGTGATAACCCTGCCTGCTAACTAGCATCGAGCCGGCTGACTCCCCATAGGTTGAGCCATCTGTCACATCCTGTCTACTCTCTAACCTCTATTACCTCACCTCGGCTGCATTCACATGCAGGATTTGTAGAATTACTGCATGTTATTGAGCACAGAGTCACCTTTTGACCTGGTAGACTGTCAGCTTTTACTGTAACCTTAACTGTAATCTGTTTTAATCTGTTTTTGGTTTTCAGGTAATTCAGGGTAACCTCTTTACATGATTGGCTGCCTATGTTCATGGTCACCTTCAATACAGACAGTCTTATTAGTCCTTGATTGATACAAGTGCATTGATTTGGACGAAGATGATTTAGAAACAGGCCTTATCATTTTCTCAAATTAGTTGTTCAGCATTTCTCAAGGCATTGTGTTCACCTGAGGGAAATGTGGTTCTTTTGAGTGCATTTGATTCAGTTTATTTCAATTTGAACTATTTTTTTAATTAGAAAGGCGACATAGCTGTTTAGTATGTAACTAACAAGTTTATATTTAAAAATGTCAGTAATTTAATTGATACCTCTTTCTAATAAGCAGTCCTTTATAAAGGGTTTATAAGTTATATAATGAATGGTCTTACTTAATTAAATCATTAGTAATGCTTTATAGATTGTCTTTTTGGTTACCACAACATGAAAAAAATGGATTGTACCGTATATCACTTACCTTCCAGATAAATACCAGCGTTTGTAATTGCATTACTACCAAATAGAAACTGAGAATTTTTTACAATTGGGCAACCTTAAGTATGTTCTTCTAAATGGCTTGTAACAGAATTATAATACATTATCGACATTTATAGACAGACGTACATTTATAAAGCCATTAGTCATGGCTTATAAACCCTATCTTATTGCCCCTTGTGCCTTATGTAAAGCCCTTTGAATTGCCCTGTTGTTGAAGTGTGCTATATGTGCCTTGCCTTTTAGTTTATTGAATTGTTTTGATAAATATTGATAACAGCTTTGATTATCCGTCACTTATCATATTTTCTCTGTGTCCAGGGTGCAGCAGTGGGCTGTGTCTTTTGGCAAAGACATAGCTGCTCTGTCTGGCAGATACTCTGGAGCTAAACTGCTACAGAAGGTAGGAGATCACACAGAAATTCATATGCACACATTAACATATACAGACGCACACAAATAAACACACACGCTGTTAGACAGACATGAATACACGTATTCACAAGCCAAAAACAGCTGACACATACATATACAGAAAAATTTAAATGTTTTCTAAGGCATTTAAAGTTACAGAATACAGTTGGACCTCACAAAGATGGCTGCTTTTCCACAGAAAAATATGTCTGCCGGCAAATAGAAAAGACAAAGGAGTGAAATCTAAGACATGAACTTAAATGCCGAGACATTACTGTACTTTACAGTAATAGAGACAGTCAGATATAGAGCACATGACATCATTACATCAGACTGAGACGGGCAGGGTCCGTATATCCTCCCCCCCCTCTTCTCCATCAGCCAATAGGAACAAGTCTGACTGGCATACAGTTGCTGTACAACATCTGCACATGGCCCAGAGACCAATGTGTTGACACACTTAATTCAAACACACATCATGCACAGGCACACACACACACACACACAACTTTTAATTTTCCTGGAAAAAATACACAGAAGTCACATTATTATTATTATTATTATTATTATTATTATTATTATTATTAATAATATTTTTCTACAGCATGACTTTTGAAGCTATTATAGTGTTTTACCAACAGATACAGTAATTGTCATGCTGATATATTATAGCCCATTGAAATGAGTTGAATTTGACTGAATTTTGTTCATTTCTGTGTGGCTTACATTGGAAGTTATGTTTTTGTCTGTCTGTCTGTCTGTCTGTCTGTCTGTCTGTGTGTGTGTGTGTGTGTGTGTGTGTGTGTGTGTGTGTGTGTGTGTGTGTGTGTGTGTGTGTGTGTGTGTGTGTTTGTGTGTGTGTTTTAGTAATTAGGATGTGCAGTCTTCCTCTGCATGCCACCCTGTAGAATCCCTAGCAGGCCCATTCACCATCTGCCACACACACATAAAACACACACACAAACACATACTGTGTGTTAACAGAGACATGCACCTACTGACTATCTCCCTCCATTGCCTATATGTGTGTTTGTTTTTGTTTTACCATGCAATTTCCTGTTGTGCGGTACAAAATTTCCACCAATCTAGCTGCACTTCCACAGATTTCTTCCAAAACAAACAAAATACAGGGTGTGGCTTGTTGTTTGTGCCTGTATTTCAGCCTGAATTAACCTCAGATAACCTCAATGTTGTGTTGGTAGAACCAATTTTCCAGAGTGAGCTCCTCACAAGTTAAAATAATGAATAACTTGATCAAGAAGCCCCAGAAACAGTAGCACAATAAGTGATGGTATTGTAGTAGCAGTTGCAATTGTCATAGTAGTAGCAGTAGTACCAGTTGCCTTAGTTAGAGTCAGTAATAGCAATATTTATACATAATGTAGGTACATTTGTCCTAGTTGCACACTTTATTTTCATTTAGTCAGTCATGTGTGAAAAGCACCCAGTGCAGTAGTTTAATCTCTGCAACAAGAAGCCATTAATCACCCACCTCTGTCTAATCGATGGCTTTCTCATTATCTGTAGAACATTTAGTGACTCTGTCTTCTTGCCTGAGTAAACTGAATAGGATATTGAGTGTTTGAAGATAATAAAAAATGTTGGAGCTTTGCTTTTGTTGGAATGTTTTTATGTAAGGATGTTTTATGGTTATTTGTAGTGTGGCTGTGAGAGAGCTCTTTATCATCCGTTTTTCTGTATATCTATTTGTCTCTCTTATCTGTCTAATTCAGGCTCCCCTGTAAAGGAAATTAAAAGCATTATCTGTGAAAGTGAAAATAGAACGTATTTTGAATGACAAATTGGGCATTTAGTTTTTTTTTCCAAAGTTTTTAGAATTTATGTTTAGGTCAACAGGCTACAAAACTGTAACTGAAAGGGCCTTTCCCAACCAGTATGGGACTCTGGGAACTGGGGATTTTTCGTTAACAAGCCTTTTCTTTCCTCTCCTCAACACATTTTACTAAACTATCACAGTGTTAAGGGAATGTAATTATCTTACTGAAGGTAATAGAAAATAAGTCCCTCACCAAACAAACATTTAATGGAAATCTATCATCTGTCCTCACAACAAATGGCATTATCATCAGTGCAGGAAATGAACCTTTAAGTAAACAGACAACAACCGTTTTGATTAGCGTAGTGAACAAACACACCAGAGAGCTGCCAGAAAAATACATTTAGTTCAATCACAGACTCTTACAGAAGATTGATGAAATAATCTCTACATAGAAACACCTAATTTTAAATGGTTGTCCATTTACTTGAGACATGATCCGTTCAGTTTGAATTAAAAACAAATATTAAATGTTGAGGATTTTCACAAACTGATTTTACTGAAAGTGATCATACACTAGAATAATATGGAAGAATGTATTGAACCTTTGGTTATTTGACTTGATCTTATAAAGCTCATGAAAATACCTATTGGGTCATTATTAAGATGCACTATTTTTGTGATATAGTTTTTACATCAATGTGAAAATAAGACCTTTTTATTCAGTTTTGTTGGTTTATTTAATTGTTGATTCATCATTTTGACGCAGCCATTTTAACAAATAATATCTGAGGACTCTTTGTGATGCCTTCAATGGCCACTTTAATGACGTGAATTATAAATATGTTTGATGAAACTATTTTAGAACACAATGCAGTCATTAAAACATGCACAGATGTCAGTCAGGGGGCGCAGCGTGCACTAGATGGTGTTCTTGTGGCATCACTCATATTGCAGATTAGAGAGGGGGTCTGGGGAAGGGATGAAGTCAGGGCTTGACCTGCATCTGTACGGCAAACTGTAAATGTGGTGTGTGTGTGTGTGTGTGTGTGTGTGTGTGTGTGTGTGTGTGTGTGTGTGTGTAATTGTGTAATACCAAGATCTCTCGTCCATGGTTATGTGTGTCCCTGTGTTTGTTCTTTTCAGTTGTGTGTTTGATATTGTACGGAACTTAATGTGAAAATGCAGTGGCAGTTAAAATGGAGACTATATAATCCTTACACAAACGATTTTTACTGATGTGCCAAATTTGTCTGTTTCAAAGAAATACAAGGATATCGAGGGAGTGGTGAAGATAGAGGAGGTGGATGGAGAGGAGTTAGTAAAAAAGTTTGCTGAGGAGATGGAGGAGATGCTTGGGAGGAAGATGAAATCAGTGAAGGTAATAACGACATGTTCTGTAAAAGCGAAACACACATTCAATGGTGGTTTAATGGTTAATTTAGTTGACATGAGCTCTTCTGCAGATGTGACCTTGGTTAAACATTTAATCTCAGCATTAGGGTTAGTCTGTTTAAGCTTGGAATTGATAATATTTGCTACATGGGCAATTCTATGGGCTTTGTACCCCTAACCTGCTGTGTTTTATCACAGAGGTTGGCAGAAGCGGCAGAGGATGCTGACCTTTACCACGAATACAATGAAACAATGGAGGTATGTGACAATATTCTTCAATATATGCACTTTAATCGCTGTACGCAGTTTTTGACTTGTGAGTTTATGCATAGTCTAACTAGACGTAAAGAGACAGACAGTTAATAGTATGTAGCCACTGATTTATGCCAAAAATATTAAATTCTTTATTGCTATTTGGTGGTGTCTACTACCTGCGGAGCAAGTCACATAACCATCATAACTCTAACTATATTAAGGATGATATGCTTTAGTCTTCTTTCCCCTCATTCATGTAAGCATACTTTTATTGATAGCAAATGTGCAAAGGATTTAGCAAATGTACCACACAGGAAAGCATAAAAATAGAGCTGCATGCTGTGGAATTCCACAGTATTTCATCATCAAATAAGCCCCTCGTCTTTTACTATTCTGTCTAGTTTGACTACTATAACTCCTTGCTGATCAACACGGTGGATGAGGACGGGAATCCAGTGCCACTGGGAGGAGAATTTCCTCTGGAAGAAAATGAACACTTTAATAAACTGCCAGTCAACACACAACAGAGTAACATACAAGTCCCTACTAATGTCTACAACAGAGGTACAGAAGCCTGTGCATGCTTCACACATACGGCCTGCAATTCCTTCCACATACTGTGCAATACATCTAATTTCCTTCTTTCTCTCTCTTTCTGTAGACCCAGATATACTTAATGGAGCCTACATGTCTGAGGCTCTGAATGAAGTGTTCATTGATAACTTCCAGAAAGATCCAACTCTCACCTGGCAGTACTTTGGCAGCTCTACGGGCTTCTTCAGGCTCTACCCAGGTGCATACACATGAGACCTCACGCATGCTCGTATCCTAAAATTTCTGCCTCTTCAGTTGAATATTTCTCCTTCGTCTGCATCGTGTCAAGACAACATGAACGGAGCTGTAGATAAACCTTCAGCTACGCAAGCCAAGTGGTATCCTTACACAGCAACTGACGATGCAGGAAACTGTCTGTCAAACGTGATGACTCAGTCTCAGCTACTGTATGGCTACTGGGGAATTCTCTCCTGTGTGGGTGTGTGTGAGGAGTAATTAGTGGAGGATTTGTGACACAGCTTGTTTTACTCATCTGCTACCTCATCCATCTCTCCCTTATTCAATAAATCTGTCACTGTCAATCCATGCATCCATTTGTTCATCCGTCCTTCCAACCAGTCAACCAAGCACCATCTGAGCGCCAGCTTTTGCTGAATCTCTCTCTCTCTCTCTCTCTCTCTCTCTCTCTCTCTCTCTCTCTCTCTCTCTCTCTTCTCTCTCCAGGGATCCAGTGGATTCCAGATGAAAATGGTGTGGTCACCTTTGATTGCAGAAACAGAAACTGGTTAGTATATATGATGTTGACAGGCTATATTCCTGTCAACATCAGTTCTGCTTCCTTATTGTATAGTTCAAATATAGTGCCTCTCAGGGGGCCATCCATGAATGTTCTGCACTGATGGGTGGCATAGAAACAACTCAGCTCAAACTGAAGCCTCAAGCCCATGTCATGGGCCCTAACACTCAAAACCAGCAGTCATTGGGCACCATTAGGCAATCACAGTGTCTATGGCTGTAGTGTGTTTGGCAAGTCGGCGCCCATCTGCCCATATCAGCGACTATATGGCCAATTGAACATGTTTTATCAGCAGTGAGAGAAGTCTTTCTGACTAGCTGTGCAGCCTCAGTGACTTTACCTATTTAGTGTCTCTCCTTGTTTTTATTTGTTAAAGGTGCAAAGCCAGCCCATGTCTGTGTCAGTTCACCTTGGTTTAACAGCACCCATACCCTTAACCAGTAGATTAAAAATACTCTATTTAAGTTTATGTTCCATTAAACCAAAAGGGTAAATAGTTAATAGAGAGACAGAACCTAAGTTTGACAGAGGCACACAGTATTTGGCCAGTGGCAATTGTGGCCAAACAATCTTTGCTCTCATCAACATGGAGAAGAGCTGTGGGTAAAGATTGTGTCAAAGACAACCATATATAGAGTGATGGCACAAGACTTGTTCTAGAGTTATACATCAGCAGCCATATAGCCTTTTACAAGTAATGCTGCAACTGACTGATCTGGACAACAGGCCTTTTTCACAGGTAACATTTTGACTTGTCATAGTCGGAAATGTACAGGTGTTACTAATAATATTAGTAGTTTGATTCAAGTATTCCAGTATACAGTGACAGTGTAATGGAAGCAGCTAAATGGAATTCAGCCATAATTCATTTTATGATTTACACTAGTGCTTTTTCCTACTGTGACATGTCAAAATGTTTTCCGTGTCAAGTTGAATAAGAGCTGGATTACTTTTTTTTCGGTAACAGTAAGTCCAGCTCCAGGAACTCTGTCTGGTCCTTAGTAAGGACATACTGTATCCTTGAAGGCGGAAATGACGAAGCAAGTCAGCGTGGCTCTGGATAGTTGCAGATCAGAGCTGCTGTAGTGGAAATCTCATTGATGCTAATGAGCTTAGAAAGTCAGAGGATGATAATAAGGAGATGAAGAGAAGCATGGACGGAAGAACAGAGGAACAAATAAAAGGATAAGGCTTGAATTCTGCCCGCTCTGTCTGTCTGCTAGACTACTAATAAATACCTTCTAGTCTGTTAATGCCTGAGTGTTATTTAGTTGACATTGTATTAAAAATAAAGACTTTACTGCTTCCTATCTCAACTCTCTGTCTCTTTCTAGGTACATCCAGGCAGCCACTTCTCCTAAAGATGTGGTAATCGTGGTGGATGTCAGTGGCAGTATGAAGGGACTCAGACTGACCATAGCCAAACACACAATAAATACAATCCTGGACACACTGGGAGAAAATGATTTTGTAAACATCATAGCTGTAAGTACACACACATATTCATTCATTCATTCACACATTCATACAATTACACAAACCACAGACACATGTGCACAGTCTGAGACTCACCAGAAGGCAGATAGTGTCTATATCCTGATAAGCGTGAATTTGAGATTAACACAGATAAGCTAATACACAGGTACAGAATAGAGATCGGGGGTGAGTACATGGAAATGGAGAAACACATCAAACATTCAGTTCACACCAGGCATTTATTTTCAGTAACATCTAAGCTCCAAAATTCATTTTGCTTCTAGGTTCTTCAGGATTTTGGCTGTGTGTAGTCCTATGACTACAAATCGGTGTAATAAGCATGGTTTATCCGGGTATTACTATGTGTGTAATCACACGCCTGCTGCAAATCCGCTGCCCTTAAGCTGTTTTTACACAAAATTTAAAGCTACACTCCTTTCAGTGGAGTGGCCATACAGCAAAATGAAAACTAGACTCTTCTTTTAAAATGAGATATCTTTAGTCAGAAAATGTTTTTAAATCCCATTTTGACTCCTCTTGAACTTAAATATATGTATATTCTAAACATAATAATACAGCATTCAGATATTTAAACTTTCATATATTCACTTTATTAACTCTTTCTGTGTTACAGAATCTGAGTAAATAAGTGGGTTATGATATGATTTAAGGGTGGTAAAACAACAACTCTTACTCATTACCTGCTATATCAAAGTCATGTTGAGAGTTAATCATGCTGATCATTGATTATGGGTTTTGTATTGTGTATTTCTCTCTCCAGTACAGTGACTATGTTCGTTACGTAGAGCCCTGCTTCAAGGGCATGCTGGTTCAAGCTGATCTGGATAACAGAGAGGTAACACACACACACACACAGAAGACACACGTACATCCGCTAATTAATTCACCCAACCTCTGCTAACCTATTAAACTGTTATCTCACTAATCCTCTAAAGACAAAGATTATGCTGTCATCACATCACAGGGAATGTGTGCTATCAGGGTTTCAACCTGTTTTTTAGTGGATTTAGTGATGAAACCAGAACCAGTTCATGCTCATGTGGGGTAAAGGTTTCTGTTTTAAGAATACAGATATTCTTCATTTCCCTGCTCTCCTCCTCCTTTGTCATCATTCTCTAGCTCCTCTTTTTCATCTCCTCCACCAAGCCATGACACTTTTCCTCTATTTTCTCTCTTTTCTATCTCCCAACATCTCACTCTTTTTCTTTAATTTCTACATACAAGTGTGTTTCACTGCTGCTTTTCTTTTCCTTTTTCCCTCCTCATCTGTTCTCCTGTTTTTCACATACCAACACCTGCTCAGTTGGCTCAGTCTTGTTTGTGTGCGTGTGTGCGTTATGTGTTGGATGTATGCCCTACTTTCACTCCCCTTCACATCCACGCAGATCAGGTGAGGTCGCTGGCCGCTGACAATTTTAAGTAGGTCACATGACCTGTCAGCAAGGGAGTTGATTGGTTGGATGCCTAGAGAGGCAGGCTGTAACAGAATGGGCTTACAGATGTTGGCTGACACACTTATAAACTCATGTTGGAACACACACACACACACACATTTACTGGAAGACAATCTTCAGTTTTGTGGCTGTTATATAAGAGTTCCTACATTCCCAAACAACTATTTATCTTATTTACTCCCAGTGTAAGTCAGACTGAGTTAGCCCACAATAGAGACCAATGTATTTAAAAAGAAAAGGGACACCATGGGCCCAAAAGAGCCCATAATTAGTCCTGAGTCATTTTATGGTTAGTACAGATTACCTTATACAGAGTAAAAATGAAAGAAAATGCTGTGTAGTTGTCTATGTTTAGTTATCTTGTATTTTAATTGTAGCTGGTTGCTGTTTTGCGAGTTGTAAAGTTAAGCATTTTTAATGACATCGTTGTGACATTTCATTTACAGTATACAGCAACAATCACAGCAATAATTTAGCTTGTATTTGTAAGGGGATATAAAAGTCTGTCGAGAGCCCCATGGAGGCTAGGCGTATTGCTGGTCCACAGAGTGGTGGAACCCACAACAATCTGGCCATTTGTCATAGTGTGTGCGGATGTCTGTGTGTGCATGTTGACTAATCCTGATTACCTCCTGGTGTTGTAGTGACTTTGCTGTAATTGGTCAGTGTGCCAGGGAGCCAGGGATAATCCCTCCTTTACACTCTTTTTTTTTTCACTCCCTCATGATTTCTCCCTCTTTTTTGATGGTGACCTGCATTCACCTACATTTACCAAAAGGGTAAGATCCATGGCTTAGTGACAGGCGTCTATTTCTTTATTTTGTTGTGTGTGTGTCTCTCTGCAGCATTTCAAGCTTTTGGTTGAGGAGCTTCATGTCAAAGGAGAGGGCAAAGTGAAAAATGCGATGAAGGAGTCTTTCAAGATTCTCAATGAGGTTTGTTCCTTTTTGCAACAACCACAGCAAACTGCTGGTCTCAACAATACACAGCATTGCTCATAATGAAAGAACATTGCGTGTGTGTTTAGGCTGCAGCGCTGGGCCAGGGCAGCCTGTGTAACCAGGCCATCATGCTGATAACAGACGGAGCCATGGAAGACTTCCAGGATGTTTTTGAAGAGTTCAACTGGCCAGAACGACGGGTATGACACACACACGCACACAAGCATTAAAAACCGCAAGCAAGCAGTGAAATCTACTCTAAGCACACAGACACATAACATTGACACTGTTTATATAAAGCTCTTTGAAGTAACACATGAGTGGGGTTTATCACATCTCCCTATATACTTTATTGTCTCTCCAGGTTCGTGTGTTCACCTATCTGATTGGACGAGAGATGACATTTGCTGAAAATGTTAAATGGATTGCCTGCAACAACAAGGGTAAAAACCAAATGGGGAGTCTGGTTTGTGACATAAAAGTCGCTAGTCTGAAATCCCTGCCTCCTCCATAAAATTCGGGATAGGATTTTGGGGTAATTTCCGCAAAACAAGGACTAGTGTAATAGATGTGAAAACTACTACAATCACTTGCAAAGTCTTAAATAAAACAAGAGCAAGAAAGGAGGTCTGTTTGCCCTCTGTGGTGTTCCCAGTTGGAGCTGGATGGGACTGGGTATCAGGTGCTGCCCTCTGGTGAATTACATGGGGTCATGCAGCAGCTCAAACCTGGAAATAATCGCTTTATAATGCTCTGAGCACATCAAAAACCCCAGACTAAATACCTGATTATCAGAACAGATACACTGTAAACACATCCCTAGCCAAAAAATATCATATCTGCGTCTGTGTGTGTGTGTAATGGGTAACAGGTGCACTCCCTTCTGTTGCGTACACTGGCAGTTTCTTCTGCCAACAACAAAATACGTATCTGTCATAAACAGACAAACATGCTTATTGTTACACTCCTGCTAAAAACTTCTATAAACAGTTTCAGTTTTAGTTGAGTAAGCATGTTTGCTTAATAATATGCAGAGCAGCACTCTTAGGGAGACGTTCCAAAGGGGAAAAAGGTTGTACACGTTCATATATTCATACCTGGCAGTGCTTCAGTAGCCTGTTGTCACTGAGCAGCTTCACGGCAGGTATCCCATTGACGTCATTGTCTCCCACTTGCAGAAATGCCATAAACCTTAGACTAAGCCAAGCTTTAAAGAACGTCAAAAGCACATTTGCACTGATGGGAGATTCAAGCTGTTTTCATTAAAAACAGCTTAGTGTTTTTTGGAAATACCAGGTTTTCTGAAGTCAGATAAATTAGTTTGCTGCTCTAAATGTAATACCCAAAGGCCAGAAGCAGGAAGATAAAAATAATATGGTGAACATTTTCTTTGCTAAAATTTAGGGTTCCTAGTTTTTCCATTTGAGTACAGTAATTTGTGATATATGTGTACATGTTTTTGTGTGCTGCAGGGTACTACACACATGTCTCCACACTGGCTGATGTCCAGGAAAACGTTATGGAATACCTCCATGTTCTCAGCCGGCCAATGGTGATCAATCATGATCATGACATCATCTGGACAGAGGCCTATATGGACAGTGTGGTCAGTCTGCTTCTCCCATTATTGCTGGGCAACACACACTATTATCTTGCATCATGCATCATCTGGTATACATTATCAAAATGTCAGATTCATTTACGACGCCTGTCCTATTACTAGTGATCCATTATGTAGTTTTGTCTGGAGAGAAACAGAGATAAACATTCAAACGCAGTCTTCCTTTATGAAAACATTTAAAGCCAGTTTATTCCCCTCTGTGCCTCTCTCCATGGTGCTGAAACTTTCCATCTAATTCATCCCGGACACCAATAAAATCTCTCAGCAACATCCTAGCGACCACAGAGAACACCATAGCAACCATGTAGCCATCACTAAGTACTGCACTGGCAATCTCCATAAAAATACCTTAGTCACCAAGCACCACTAACATCCTCCTCCATCCAACCAGTAATGGACCAACAACTATTTAGCCACACCCCAGCAAAACTTCATCCAGTTTTACATTTTCTAAATAATTCTAATCAATCCTTTTCTAAGTTACTGCACCTGTTGCTAGTTGCTACTCCACCTCTACCTGCTTACTTCTGTTTCCTCGTTTATTTCAGTATCCCTTTTCATCTGCATCGTATGTGACACAACTTTTCACTGCTATTTCATGCTTGTTGTTGCCTTTCCTCCCCTCCATCTCCACCTTCAGCTCCCAAGTACACAAGAGGTAATAATACTAAAAAATGGTAGCCATATAAAATACAGTGATTAGTATCTGTAATGTCTTGCGTAGCCTTTTATTTATAGTCAACAACAGTTTATAGTGGTCTCAAGTAGTTTCCTGTTGAGCTATAGCTAACTTTCCGCCATTGCTTTAAATGCTAAAGTTAGCTTAGCTCGTCTAGAACCACTACTTAGCTTTCAGTTTTAGTTTTTAGTTTTGAAACTTGTTCTTCACTGTTTTATTCTTTACTTCATTCATTTCACAAGAGCTTATTTTTCAAACTTATTTGAGTGAACATTTCTTTATGTGTCTTAGCTTTCCCTTAGTAAGACGTTAGCTTGGTTAACGTTTTTTGGTTCAGACAGATTTAGAGTTACTACATTAAATGCCTTACTGTTTGTCTTCATTTCACTTCATTGTCCACCTTTGTTCAACAGGATTTAACTCCTTCAACTTCATTTAGATTTATAGTTGTTTGCTCATAACTTACTAAGGTTAATTTACATGGTATTTGTGTGTATATGTGTACCACAGCTGTTCAACACTCAGGCCCAAAGCCTACTCCTGATGACCTCGGTAGCAATGCCTGTGTTCAGCAAGAAGGAAGAGACCGTAAGTATTTATTTTAATCACCATTAACACCATTATTCTCTACAGAAATTGCTTGAAATGATGTATGTATGAATGTATGTATGTGTTTCCTGTAGTTGTCTCATGGGATTCTGCTGGGAGTGGTAGGAACAGATGTGCCCTTGAGAGAACTGATGAGATTAGCTCCAAGATACAAGGTAAACCATCCCAAATATATATATATATGAAATACTGTATACTGTGCTACTCTGTATTGATTATTCTCTGCCAGCAACATTGTATTTGTAATTTTATGTTGAGTATCCACATGTTAATGATCAATGTTGTTGCCCTAGTGTAGCGCGTTGTGTCCTTATCGCTTTCTGTCTCTTCAGCTGGGTATCCATGGCTACGCCTACCTCATCACCAACAACGGCTACATCCTGTCTCACCCGGACCTACGACCTCTGGTACAGACAAAAATTGTAGTAGATTATTAAAACTGAGAACCTTTATAATTCTGCTTGACAGATTTATTGCAGTTACCCAAACACAATAAAATGGAATAGGCTGCTAAGACTTGTTTTTGATGTTTATGTTGTTTGTGTGTGTGACAGTACAAGGAGGGGAAAAAGCTAAAGCCAAAACCCAACTATAACAGTGTTGATCTGTCAGAGGTGGAGTGGGAAGACACTGAGGAGAAAGTGAGTAGCATACACTCACATACACATATTTCTGTCCTTTCTCTTTTCTGTATGTCAATGTGAGTTGGGTTGTTCAGGATCTATAGCATGGTATTTGTGATGTCAATGTTTCAGCTGAGGACAGCCATGGTTAAAGGAGAAACCGGAACTTTGTCTTTAGACGTGAGAACTTCAGTGGATAAAGGAGTGAGTACTTTTGTTTTTGTGAGTGTCCGAAATATTAGGTCAGATTAGATTTTCCTCTCTTTCTGCTTGTGGGGTTTTGTTGTCTTATATGATCCAAGTTTTGTTTCCTCATTTAGTTTGGGCCATCCATTTATATTTTGTGTCTTGTTTTGTGAGTACAAGCTGTGGTTTTTCTCTCTGCATTATTTCTGTCTCTCACAGAGGAGAGTGATGTTCCTGAAGAATGATTACTTCTACACCATCATCAATGAGACACCATTCAGGTTTGTTCATAGTAACAACATGTGCTTATTGTTGGAAATAACCATTATTACGAGCATGATTCATTCTGCCTTCAACATATTATATAGTAGGTAGTAAAACAACATTCTCATCTCTGTGTTTGACAGTCTGGGTATAGTGTTGACTAGAGGATATGGACGATATATTTTCATCGGAAACGTCTCCGTTGAGGAGGGTAAGTTTTTGCTTTCTGTCTTAGTTTTTCTCTGCATTTGTGTTTGCCCTCCTCACTCTCTGTCTCATGTCTTTTTTGCTTTTTTGCTTCAGGTCTCCATGACCTATTGGCTCCAGATTTGACCATAGCTAACGAATGGTGAGTACTGTATAACTAGCAGAACATAGACATCATGGGATTCCCACCAGTCTAAGTTTGTAGCTCTTTGTGTAAATATTGGGATGGAAAAACTTTGAAGATGAAGAACCACCCGTACTCACAGAAGATTTCAGGAGACCTTGATGAGTTACCCAACAGAATTTATTGAGGTTCAGCCAAGGATAATAAGAGCAGCAAAACATGTGTAACACAGTGCAGTGCCAACTCAGGATGGGGGATATTTAACATAGACCCACACCCTCCAAGACAACACGTGTCCCAACCTACACTGGCGACTACATACATAAATCTAATTGGAGAATGTAACACAACAAGTTCTCTGGTTACCAAGCTTTCCTTCCTAAACCTTGCAAGATTTCTATGGGGAGAGACAGCCAGTCTGACCCTGGGTGAGGCAATATGTGGTCCAGCTTGACCCTTATCACTGCAGTTGTTGTGAAGTCAGCAGACATGAGGACACATAACACTCAGTGGCTCTAGACACTACTAGAACTGAACCCTTCTGCTGCAACCTTTGACCTCTCAGGCCAAAGACCATTTACATACAATGGATAATGCTGTCATCTTACTACATCTGTGGGGCCATCCATCTTAAAGGACACCTAGGAGACAAAAATTCCTTCACAAATATGACTACTGTACATTTTTGTCTACAAAAATGCGTGTGTGTGTGCTTGTAGGACCTACTGCGAGACAGACATTGACCCTGCCCATCGTAAGCTGAGCCAACTGCAGGCTGTGATGCTATACCTCACTGGAAAAGAACCACATCTTGAGTGTAAGTAGACACTTAAATTTCAGCTCATAAAGTTTTGATTTTGGAAAAATAAAACTTAACCCTGAAACTTATCTCCAGTTTATGAGCACATACACACCTGAAATCAGAGGAGAAAATAACACTCAAACAGCATGCAGTATCCATAAACACACCACTAGATGTGTCAACTTTGCTTCTAATGTTTTGAGAGATTAGCTTTATTTTAAATCTTTGTAAAAGGAGGAATAGTGGCCAAACTCGTGGCCAATATATCAACCAAATCATTTCTAAACTGGAAGTTCTCTTTGTGACAGTTGCAATAGTGAACATAACACCTTTAAAGGTAAAAATTAGGTTGTCTCAACATAAACTGCAGATTTAGGTACAAACATAGTCAGGACACACTGATACATTCTTGGGATCTTTTATACTGTTGGCCTTAATCAATGTTTAATATTTGTTTTCCTTTGGTTTCTCTCTACAGGTGATGGGCTGTTATTGCAACAAACTCTGTTTGATGCTGTGGTCACGGCTCCTATGGAAGCCTACTGGACCGCCCTCATGCTCAACACATCTGGGTGAATATTAACACACATGCACAGCCACGTAAATGTTCTTTTATTAAGACATGGACTTTTTACATTATTAATCTTTTTAATTTTTTTATTTGCTTTGTCTCTTTCTGCTCCATCCGCTCTTTCAATCTCAAATTTTCTTTCTTTCTTTCTTTCTTTCTTTCTTTCTTTCTTTCTTTCTTTCATTCATTCTCTCTCTTTCAGTATGGACGAGGGGGTAGAAACAGCATTCTTGGGGACCCGTTCAGGCCTGACTAGATTCCAGAGATACACTGGTATTGAGAAAAGAATTGCCAAGTGAGTAAGAAAAACAGGGTAATTTTGTATATTAAATATCATCACATCATAATAGTCATACCATTATGTCCACGACCAGAAGGTCCAAATCTGGGGTTAAATGTGTTTATGTGAGAGTGATAGAAATTTAAGATGATGAAGCTGAAATTACAGTAAGGTGAGAGTCTGCCCTCTGGTGGTCAATAAAAGGAATAGTTTTCTGTAAAGAAATGTCTTATTGCTCCAGACATGCAAGTGATTAAAACTATTACATGCATAAACAGTTAATGTCGCTTTGACAGACGTACATCCTGCTGTTGAGGTATAACACCTTTAAACATTAACAACACTCCATACATTTTAGTAGAATTTGTACACATACATTTCATGTAGGATGACATATTATAAACAAAACTGTACTCTCTTTTAGTAAATCATCCTATTCTAGGATTTTAAAGCATTACTGGAAATGAATGAACTAGTTGATTAGTATTGTCTCCCTTGAATTTAACTTCTCCCTCACTCACATATGTCACGTCAGTCTTCTTTTTTTTCTTATCCCCCCCCCCTTTATTCATTTTTCACTTTATCTCACTGTTTATTTTTTTTGCTGTGCTGTTATTTCCTTTCAACATATTTGACTCAACCCTTATCCTATCCTCATTTTACTTATTCCTCCTTTCCTTTTATCATAATGTTAAGGCAATAGATAGTAGTTTTTTTTTTTTACTTTAAGCTTATTTTTGTCTCTCCCCAGGTCTTTCCTGACCTCCACAGACAAGGAGAATATGTTCACTTTGGACCATTTCCCAGTGTGGTATCGCAGAGCAGCTGAGTACCCAGCTGGACAGTTTCTATACTACATGCCCAGACAGGAGACTAGAGGTAGAGGACATACCTTTACTGAGCAAACACATACACAAACACACACAGATACACACAAACAAGGGCACACAAAACACTTTTTGTATGGTTTTCTTTTCAGTTTTCTCAGCCACATTCAGTAGGTTGAGCCAGAAATCTCTAAGTGACAGGCTCATTTCTCTTTAGCCTGCACACTACAACAGCTCCTTTCTGTTTACTTTGTTGTGTATTTTTGTAGTTTGTATGCAATGCAGGTTTGAAAAATGTTTTTATGTGTCATTTCACTCTTGATTAATATTCTGTTTACATTTATTCTTCACCATAGTTCATATTCTGGTAATTTTGCTGTTGTGAAGAATAATCTGCAGCTCCAAAGTTAACAGCTACTGTCATCATGTTTATCATCACATCATACTAACACTTAACTCCATCTTTAAATCTAGTTGAGAGATGAAAGTCAGTAAAAAAAAAAATAGGATTTTGAGCCCTGCCCTTCTCTGCCTCTGGATTAAATTTTCTTATTCAGCTCTGCTAGAACACAATGTATATTGTAAGTGATCGAAGTGCTTCATTTGCCACAAAGTGCTTTAGGTAGCAACAAAGGACAGGAATTTGAATTTAATCTGCTCGACACAGTGCAGACTTAAATGTGAATTTGTTCAAATAAAGAAAGTTCAATGAGTGTGAGACAGACACAACAGACAGACAGACATGACAGAATACAGGGTGTGTGTGTATATATCTACTTCCACACTTACTTAAAGTAAGTATGCATGCATGTACTGTATGTGTGTACTGAATCTACGGATGATTTAAAATCTTGACCTTACCTATAAATGATACTGGACATTATAGGATACTCACACTTTTAAAGTTTGAAACTCTATTTCTGAGTTTAAGATGGTGAAAAATGTTTCATGCTGTATTCACATTTATATAATGAAACATTTTATTATACCGCCATCTTTTTAAACCTCGCCATTAAAGTACAAATGTACAAAAATGCCCGTATATATGTTTTAGGTTGATGTTAGATATAGTTTGTTGTGTTCAGATATATTCAGGGACTATGAGGCTGACTATAGCGCCACCTTCAGTGCAGAGGAGGTGGAACTCCAAGCGGAGGAGGGAGGGAGGAAACGGAGGGAGGCGGATGAGGAGGAGGAGGGTAGAGGAAAACTTTTACTTGTACTTGGCATGTCTCCTCTTTTTATTCATCCTCATTCTGTTCTTTCTCACCCTAATTTCAAAGCATGACGAGCGCTGTTTTCCGTTTCTTTACCCTTCCCTTTAACAGTCTGTTTGTCTTTTTCTACATCTGCTCTGTTTCTCTTTTTTCTTCTCTGTCTCATTCCTCCTCCTCTCTCTGTCTTTCTCTCACTGCATGAGCATGCCATCAGAGTATGGGAACCTCCTCTCCTCTCTTAGGGAGCCAGTGTCTGGTTCATTTGCATTGTGCTGAGTCAGTGTCTCTTCTGTCTTCGATTAATCCTTGTTGAGAATTGTTGAGTTTGTCATTCTGTTACTAGATTATGTTGCAACATTCAGTGGCAAAAAACAAAGAAATCCCACGCCTTATCAACGGGTTTGTCTTAAAGGAGTGAATAACATAAATAGAAACATGGGACACATGGAAACACGTAGTAAAGAGACACTCACAGTTCTTCTGTTTTGAGTGTAATAGACTAGATTAGCTCTCATACCCTGTGTTATATAATGCTTAAACTGTTAATGTGGCTGGAATCTGTGGCTTTCTGACAGTTGGCGTCAGCTGGCATAAAAGGCTGTGAATAGAGACACAGAAGATGAATGCATGACTTTATTAAACATTACTTACTGAGTCAATCTGTCACCCACATATTTTTTAAACACATTTTGGCATATCTGTACTAACACTTCAGCTGTCACTATCACTGTTAGTGTTCGCAGACTTATAAATGATATATTCAGTATGTGAGAAATAAATATTTCTGGGAACATTTCCCTTTTCAGTCCTTGTGCATGCATATACTCATGCATGTTTATGTATTCAGAAGGAACATTTGTTTGTTTGTGATGTGCATGCATCCATGTTTCCACATGCATGTGTTGATAAAGCAATGTAAATTATTGCTAATTGTGTGTGTGTTGCTCTACCAGCAGGGAGGATAGTGATTGCTGCCACTGCTGTCACTGTTACGGTGGGCAAGAAAACTGCCATTGCTGGAGGTAGGATGACATTTCCATTTAATTACACACTCTCTTTTACACACATTTTATGCCTTGGTTCCCTCTCTCTTTCTCTCTCCTTTTTAATCTCCTCTTTTCTTTACATTCTTTTTCTTCTCTTGTATGAAATGTAATGTATCCTCTGTCTCTTCATTCTTGGCTCTTTTTCTCCTCTTCCTGTCTGTCTTTTCTTGCGGTTTTCACACAGTAAAATTGGCTGGCTGATTTGTTGGTGACATTTGAACTTGCTGATTTGATGGTGATTGCTGGTAGCATCACCTTCCAATTTGCTGTTGATGTACTGATTTGTCAGTAACACTTTGCCATGGATGTGCTGTGGATTTCACTCCAAGACAAATTAAGGGCAAACTTTGGTTGTGAGTTTACATATATGTTTCAGGATTCACTTAAACTTATTCTGTTGTTGCACTGACTGGAAGTTGCTTTGGATAAGATAAGGTATTTTGACGACAACAGGATTTTTTGATCTGTGTGAAATTTGTGTAAGATGTGAAGATCCCTAAGTAAATCAATTTCCACAAGGGGATAAAGAATTTAGACAGGAGTTGTGAATAGAACCCAACGTGACCTATTTTTGAGGCCAATACTGATATAAGTAAATTATAAAAAGCTAATGACAATAAATGACAGTTGAACAATAAACCTTGTTTTAAAGATATCAGTATACATAAGATTAATATATATACACATAATAAAACTAGTTTGAACTAAGAAAAATTAAGGTCAATATACACAAGAATGTTGCCAATAAAATATTTATTTGAAAATGTTTTGACCATGTAGTAGATGTTCCAGTAATTTTGTGATTTGTTGTCATTAAGTCCTAAAAGTGCACTGATAAAATGGAAATTTGAACATCTACAAATACATCACAACGTACACACACATATCAATATATCTGTGACAACCTGATGTCAGTCAATAATATCAGCCTGCTGATGTATTGGTCCGGTTCTGACTGTAATCGCGTACCTGTGATGCCTGGAGAGTACTGTACCTTTGTTGTGTCTGGTTTCTTCAATAGCTCGATGATTTTGATGATTATGTGTCGGGTATCTTTTCTTAAAGAGGTTTCGGATGACTCCATAACGTTTATTGAGCTGTATTTGGGAGTGTCTGTGCTCAAGTGTGTATTTCACGCAGAAACATGTTGTCTTACAGTTCATATTCCCTGACTTTGTTTCACGGCTTCCTGATGTGTGTGTTAGCGTGTGTTTTGTCCTGGCAAGCCCATCTGTGGCTGACACACTCATCAGTCATAATCATCTGGGTGAGACAAGGCTCTCTGGAGCTGTATCCTTAGAGCATACGTGTGTGTGTGTGTGTGTGTGTGTGTGTGTGTGTGTGTGTGTGTGTGTGTGTCTATACCTGCGTGCATTTGGTGTCTCATTATGCTGACAGACAGAAAATCACCCCACACACACACACACACACACACACACACACACACACACACAAACACCCGTGCTTATCTGTATTTCACAGCTTTCGTAGAAATTGTCTCAGGTGTGAAAATCATGTTATATTTGGAAATGGAAAACAGGAAGAGCAGGGAGAAGTGAGAAAGAGTTCAAAATAGACGTGTTTCTGTTGCTCTCGTAATCTCATTGCCTCTCATTCTTACAGTTTTTTAATACTTTTTTCCTCAATTTTGCTTCATTCTTTCTCTCTCTGCTTGTTTGGGAACATTAACGTCACAGTATGTCAAATCCACAGCTCTGCTATAGCTTACTGTACTATTTTTTGGAAATTCTGCAACTATTACATCTAAAATCCGCATTTACATGAAAGTAAGCGTACAGTATTAAAAATGAAGGATCTTCAGTCATATTAGACAATGTAAAGAGGCTTTTTTTTTGGTATGTTGATGGTCATACAATGGTCAGCTATTGGAGGTAAAAGGTTGTATACGTTTTTATTCCCCGTTGCGTTACTGGATGTCAAGTGGAACAGCTTTTCTACCAGCAGCTTCACTTTAACAACATAGAAGGAAAAGCAGTATCAATGTTTTATAGACTTGCTCTTTGACTTTCTTTAACACAGCCTCACAAAAAGATACACACACAATCATGCACACTACTCATCGTGTTTCACCCTTTGACACTCTTCCCTGCCCTGTTAAACCCTCACATACATCTCTCTTTTCTTAGCCTCTCTCCTCCGAAGCTGTCAGATCTGTCTCCCTTCTCCTCCCTACACTTTTTTCTCTGTCTTTCTCCTCCCCTCGTTACTCTCTTTTCCCTGTCGTGTCACTCTCTCTCTCTTAGTCCTTATTTCGCTCACTTCCTCCATCTACTGTATTTCTTGCTGCATCTGTGTAAGCGAAGTCACGTTTGTCTTCTGAACAAATGAGGATATTCAAAAGCTGCCTCATCAAAGGGATGCACACACACATACAATCATAAAGCTGTACAGTACCCACCTTTGGCATGACTACTATACGTGTATGGTGTTTATTACAAATGCCTTGATCTAGTGTTAAAACAAGTTTCCATATACTGTAAAACCTGAAAATGCACGCAAAACCAACTCAGAAAACATTCTCTGGTCAGCTCTGTTACACGAAAATATGGACCACTGTAAAAACAGTACACAAGACTTTCTAGCTATCTACACTGCTAGTTTGCACAAATGTATGTTGCTAATAATACTGTAGCATTTTGTAGATTATATCATCAGACATTCACATTATCAGAAAAAAAGAGGATAGAAAGTTCCTGGCTTATGCAACCGAGCTGTGTTTCATAGGTGAAAACTGTCGTTCCTGTTAAATGCAAATAATAATTATTATAGTATAATGATTATTAAAGGTTGTAATTTCATTTCTGACCACTGAGTGTCAGTGTTTGTGTGAATAGAAACTGGTCATTTACCCCCTCTGTATTTCATTGTAGTTTGTGTTTAGCTTTAATGCTGATTTGGTGGCAGATTTAATTTCTCCTCCTGTGATGAAGGCCAAGGATTTGGTATTTCAGAGGCTGATCCAAAATCAGTCAACAGTGACTATAATAAAGACTGTGTTTATACTGTTCTAAGGCTCAGCAATGGATTAGTATATCTCTGTGGCAGAAGTGACAGGCTGTATGTAAATAAAACCTAATACGCTCCTATTGACAGAGAAGCAGACTGGAAGAACGAGAGATAAGTAGGTAAATAAAAATGACAGAATGCCTGAGTAGGAAAAGAATAAAGGATAGAGAGAGGATATTTGACATGGAGGAGGAGGAGAGGAAACAGGGAATACGGATAAAAATGAGGCAGAAAGGGACGTACGATGGGGAGGTGAAATAGCGAAAAAAGACACACAATAGACCGAACAGAGCAAAGGATAAAGAGGGCAGAGATGAGGGAAACGGTGAGAAGACTAAAAGAATGATGGGAGGAGAGGCGACAGAAAGATAAATGGCGACAAGATAAAAGAGAGGAGAGAGAAGATGAGAAATAGAGAAAGGTGAGAGGAGATAGAGGGCTTCGGACAGAGAAAGTCAGATAGGATGCAGCATAGAGGAGCTGTTATCATGTCTGATTTATATTCTCATTTGACCCTGTGTATTTATTCCCCTTCAGTTTCTACCTATATCTCACAACATCATATTTTCAGGCTTTCTGTTCACCCAGAAAAGTAATTTGTACTCTTAAAATATTTTTTTCCCACCATTTGACTTGAAACCATATATTACTTTTAAAAAAACAAGTTTCTGACAATTATTTGACTTTCCAGTGTGTGTAAGTCTAACAGATAATGTTAGGCTAGTGTTATTACACAATATTGCATGTGTAAAATATCCAGGATCTAATCTGTAAAGGTGTTATCTTTTACCTACAATTTCCTACCTCAGTTAATATCTATTTTATTTTGTGCTATTGATCATTTTGAAAGTAAAGATAGTCAAATCTTGTCAGTGGTCTGGATGTAAATTTGACATAAGTGTGATATGTTTTTATTTAAATCAATGCATATTGACCAGGAAATGCTTCATCATCATCATATCATCATTGTCATTATAACAATCATCATAATAACACAACACACCATAGATTTCTGGGCATTGTAGTCTTTGAGGCCCTCAGTCATCATGGCTGCTGCAGTTTTACGTAACAAACTAGAATTTATTATTCTTTACACACACAGGCTATATGAACATGTTTCAGCTAGCTAAGATACTTAGCTACCAACACAAGACCTGCAGACCAGGGGATGAGAGGACAGTGTTTCTACATTCATAGACAGAGTTTAACCATTGCTTTTTTTTTCAATTACTGCCCCAGAGTCCCTGTGAAATTCATGGTTATGTTTGAATGTCTCATTTAAATCCCTTCAAAATATCACTTTACTTTGCTACGTTTTTGAACATGTCATCTCCAAATTATTTTGACCAGCTCAACTTCTCTATTTCTTTACATCGGTGAGGTGACCATTGTTAACTTAATTTGCAAATCAGACTTGATCATTACTGAACTGAAGGATCAAATAATAACTTTTTTTGCGTCCTCAATTCCCACCAGCTCAGTCGTCTACCAATAATATTTATATTTGGCTATTCTGATGCATGAAGTACTGTAATGCTCATTATGTTACACAAAATGTAAAGGTGGTGGGTATAAGAGTGTGTCTTCAACACTGATTTTCCTAATCTCATGGCTCTTGACATACAAGGATTTAGCCTTGACAATATTATTATATAACCAGGATAATAACCTTTCGCTAAAGCTTTTCCCACTTGGTTAAGTTGTCTTATCTTTGTGACAGCTCACCTATACTAGTTAATCATGTTTGTAAAAATAGTAACCAACTGAAAATCTCACTCTTGTAGATGTGAATGTTCTGTCTGATATCTTGACAACTACAACATGGGGAGCATTTTTCTCTATAACTGCTAATGCAGCTATTTCAAATAAGTTGCACTAAATAAAATATAAAATCCTATTTAAACAATAAGTTTACCTGTCGCCTATGTGATTCTATGGTAAATAATGTCACCCTGATAAATTTCAGAGACGAGGCAGCAGTATGGGGCCCTTTTTATTCTCAATGGTCAAACTCTCTCTATGCCTCTTGCAGAAACGTTACCAACTCTTAAATACAAATAAATGAACACGATGAATAAACAAACATTACAGAGATATTAAAACTTAAAACAAAACATAGAAGTCATCAACACAACAAAAGACGTACATCATGAATTGATACAGAAAAACAATAAACAGTTACATCAAAAACATTTTGGGGATCGCTGGGCCAACACACCATATTAGAGACTAATATAATAATATTTATCTGCATTATACCCAGGTATAAGATAACACACTATTAATATAAGTTTATTTCCATTATTATTTCCAATTAGAAATTGAGAGGGAACAATTGTTCTACTGTAGGGGAGCAATATGCAATGAAAGCCCGATTTTTGAGATATGTAGACAGGACAGCACAATGTTAAAGCTTACATAAATATTTCAGGTCATAAATAGGGATGTTTATGAAAAGACTATGTAAAGCAAACAAACTAACCTGTTTTGTGAATGCACTGACAAAGCGTGTGAATCAAACAGACTCCTCTCGATTAAGTGATGTTTACTAAGTTTACAGCATAAGGGCTCTTTGGCAGTAACAAAATGTTGATGTTATGGTGACACACCTTCCATTGCATATTGCTGGCCTTTCAGAAACAACACAAGGACAACAGTATGGGAGAAGGGATTGATAAAAGGAAAGAAAGGAGGTGGTCTTAAAGGAAGAGTGAAAAACTTTCCATAAATAGCACTGGATGGAAAGATGGATGGAGAGATAAAGGGATGAGAAGGAGGAGGAGGAGGGGGGGGAATAGCAGCGTCTTTTTGTTTAATCCCTTGTTCATTGTAATCCCTCTGGGCAAATCGTCCATTTTAGAAAGAGAGGGAAGGGAGGAGGGAGAGGGAGGCCAGAGAGGATCTGATTAGGGAAATAAAGTGCAGGAGTCTGAAGTTTGTAGTCCTTAGATGAATTTCTGTAGTCCTTGCCAGGAGACAGGGTTCTCTGAGATAGTGCTTCCATGCCAAAGTAGCAAACATTCACCTCTGAGGGGTGAAATCGTCTGAAAATGAGCTCTGATCAAAGAAGATCTGCTTTCAAGCAAAGTCTGTGGTCCTTTAAATCTCAACACTTTTCTGAACCAGAAGCATAGTCCAAAAAATACCAGAAAATTAGTTTGATCGCTTTTTCACCATATACTGACCATAATCATTGAACAAGCATCAAGTAAGCAAGAACCTTATTCTGCGGAAAAGTGACAAATACAGCAAATTCAAATTCCAGTTAAAATGGTTTGTTCCCCATCGAACATATGGATAAGATTCATTGTAGAATCTCTTGCACAGCTCCAGTCTGTGACACCTGGAAGATGTTATAGGTCCAGAGAAAATCCAGAGAGAAACAGTTCCAGTTCAAATAGGGCAGAATATCTAACCGTTGTCTCTGAAATCATGTATTTGAATCCATGAATGATCATTTTGTCCATCCAAATGGTTTCCTGTTCCTTAGTACATCCCTAACAAGTCTCAGGAGACACAAGACCCAGGAGACGATGTTTGATTTCCTATCAACATATTATCTGTATGTATCCCCAGTAGATGATGACTATAGAAATGACATCTCTTTATGTTTATCCACAACGTTGCTGTCATTTCCCCCAAACTTTCCGTAACTGTCTGTTTCCATAACTGTCTGTTGAGACTTTAAGGTCCAAGGGAATGTCAGAGGAGCATTAGGCCGGACAAGGGTGAAGGGATCTCGATTGGGGTCCTGGTTTTTTGTAGAAACTATTGGCTTTTGAGAGGTTGAGGAGGAGAAAGATGCAAACAAAACAAGAGCTGGGCACTACCTAATACCACAAATTCTTCTCATTGTTGTGAATGTTGGTCCAGTCAACACCATATATACTGTATATCCCTGAAAATTCAATCCAGTTTTAGAAATACTGACTGATCGTACCTTGTAACAGCTTAAATGATATGTTTCATACTAGAGAGAGTACCAAATATTTTTTTTCTCTCTGCCAATATAATGGTAAATTCAGCAGCAGCCAAGAGCAGCAGTAGGTGGTTGGTAGGCGAGTTGGAGGGATGACTGGTAACAAATGCTGCAGTGAGTAAAGGCTCTAAATGGAGGAGAAAATCAGGGAACAGATAAGGTATGTGAGGGAGTGTGTTAGAGAGAGGGACAGAGAGGGAGAAGGTTAAAAATAGAAAGAGGGCCAAGAAAGGAAGACAAAAAGCGGGAGAAAGGTGTCAGTTTGAGAGTCAGAGGGAAAGGTACCATAACTTTCATTGTGCATAAAACGAGCTCTTCCATCTCTCTCCTCTTCGAGCCCTTATAATTTTTGCCCCTTCGAACCTTCACCCTTTGACAAGCCCCCCCCCCACGTCCCGTCACTGCCCTAGGCCACAGAGGAGATCTGTTTCTCCTCCCTATCCTCCCCGTCTCCCTCTCCATCGCCCATCAGTGGCTGCCTCTTCTTCAACTCTCTCTGGTACTTGGCCATCAGCGAGGCGTAGATGCAGCCGTAAGCCGCAGCTGCAACCATCATGATGCAAACAATGCCGCACACCACACCAGCAATCACCACGGTGCCGATGGCGCGGCGCACACTCACAGGCCGGTAACGGGCCCGAACGCAATCTGCCGGGGCCTCTCCGCCTCCTCCACCTCCTGTGTTTGAAGAGGAGTCATCCCCAGTGTTGCTGTTGTCAGAAATTGGTGTTGCCCCACTGGGGCTAAGTGCATTCCTGCTGCAGGGAGGACCGCCTCCTTGTCCAGAACGGGAACCCTCACCTCCTCCACCTCCGTTCTCATCTTCAAGTTGGAGGCAGTAGTTGAACATTTCCACTGGAACCCCACGGATGTCTCGCCCACGCAGATCCTTCGGCAGCGTGCACTCCACCGCGTCCACCTTACCACCTGACGGAGAGAGAAAGGTGCAGAGACAGGAGGGCAGGGAGAGGTCATTTATAAAATGCCTTATGCCTGCAAAGCACTACCAATTAACTGAGAGAGAGGCAAAGATGGAGAGGGGGGTGGTTGAACCAACATTAGGATGAGTCATACATCACTTAACACACACACAGAGTTTGCTGTGCCCTCTACACTAAGTTGGAGATAGCCTCAACTAAGCCCTTCTATAATTCATGAGATGACATGCCTAGCTTCAGCAGAGTTCTTGTGTATGTGTGGAAGAGGGAAATATCTGAGTCACTAATTCCCACAGGCGGCAGGAGGGTGGGGGCTCTACTGTGTTATCATCACATGCTGCATCCACACATAGTACTCGTCTCGTGGTCGTGCGTTGGAAAGTTATTGATCGCCGTCAGATACGTAAAGCAACAGAAACAATGAGATAAAGGAGGAGGATAGTAGAAAGACAGAATGAGGAAACTGGTATTTAGCCCCCAGATGGTTTTATCTCGGCGTGTGACAAAAGAATCCCCTCTGCAAACAGAGCTCGCTCTCCAAATATCTCCGAATATCCCAGCTGTGCGTGTGCTCAAAGTGGTTTGCAGGAGACAGAAATCAACACGGGCTGCTGTCACCAAGCATTTCACACTTGTTCAGTGCTTTGTCTTACTTTCTTTAGCACATATCGTGCATCATCTACCCTATTAACAAATACTGTCATGCTTTCATGTTCAACTACGAAGTGTCTCCTTGTAGATTTTCTCTGCTGCTCTGATGATTATTAAATTATCATGTCCGCCGTGTGTCAGTCTCCGTCTGAAGTGTAGTGAGCTGAGCTGGAGAGTAGAGCCCAGCAAAGCAGAAGAGAGCAGAATGAAGCAAATAGGAGAATGGAGCAGAAAAGAGAAGAGATGCTTCATTAGCGGGGCAGCTGAGGCCCGAGGCGCTGAGGTGAATGTGGATTTTACACATGAAGAGAGAGCGGAGAGCAGCTGTGGTTATCTGATGTATTAACAGCCTGCAGAGACACGTGGCTAACACAGTACACACAATGAGCGTGGTAATGTGCATTCACACACACATACAGTTGTGTTGCTAGAAGCACAGGAAGGAAGAAATAGAAACACACACATAGCTATCTGTAAGGGGGAGCTCACATTCTCTGGTTTCTGGCCATCGCTTCGTGACTCCTTTGCCCTCTTGTCCTATCCCCAAATTGAAATCAAACACACCCTTTCAAAGCTCATCTAACAGAAATCAAACATCTACCTCTGTACAGCAACCACTCCATCCAGTGTTTGAAATCGCGGAGGTTGCAGTCACATTCCCAGGGGTTGTGTCCCAGTTCCAGGTGTTGTAGGTTGGCAAGCGGCTCAAACGCTGCCCTTTCCAAACCCTGAAGCCTGTTACCCGCTAGAGACAGCCACCTATGAAATAATTAGAATAAAAGTAATTTATTCTCTTAACTCTAGTAAAAGAGAGGAATTTACCTTTGTAGCACTGATTTAAAATTGGCATCCTGTACTGTAAAATCAACTGAACATCAATTTAATAATGTGATACGTAATTTTGCATACATTTGCCATGTTGTGATAAACTGTATATTGATATTGGAGAAACATTCTTGTTAATATCAATATCATTACATTGATTTTAGTCTGACCTTTGACCTCCTCTCTGGAGGATGGTGATAATGTTGTGCAAATGTTGCTCTGGGAGTCTGCAAGAGCACATTTATTTAACCATGTCAGTGTACAGAGTGTTTGTTGATGTCTACCTGAGGCTCTGCAGCTCATCCAGTAGCCCCAGAGGAACAGACGACAGACCGTTCAGGGACAGATCCAGACTCTGAAGACCCCCCAAACCCTGTAGAAACATCAAAATAAGCTCTTTGTTTATCCATATTTGCTCAGACATTACAGTACTGTACAATTCACTTCTCCCAAAACCCATATTAGTATTACTGGCTTTTTTCACAATTGCCAAGAGGCACTGCTTGTATCTCTTGACGGGCTAATCTTGTTCAATTTAGGTTCCCAAGCGAAGTCATGACACAAGCTCATCCTGCAGACTGCTTTGGTTCAGATAAAAGTGGATGAAAGTGTTGAGCAAATGGTTTATTATTAATTTACCACCGGGACAGAAGCCCAGTCATGTATATCTGCTCAGGTTGGCTCCGCTCCTAAACAGAGTCTGTAGAGCCTCACCCAGGAGATGAAACAGTGTACCAGTAGTGGTATCAGCATTTTTTTGGGTTGACTGGTCTCACACAGTACATGACAGACAAACAAGAGTGTTGTGTATTTTGAGGGGAAATCTTTTATGAATTACAGTACTGCTATACTGTAGACTGTAGAGAGTATGGTGTTATATTATCTACAGTGCCTACCTGGAAGAGTTCTCTGTCCATTACTGTTAGTGAGTTGTTGTGCAGAGTCAGTTTTGTCAAGTTGGACATATCTCTGAATAATCCTGCTGGTAAATTATCCAGGTAGTTATTAGAGAGGTCCAGCTCCTAAAATACACACAAAAAAAAACATTTTTATTCCCATACATCTTAGCATTTTAGACACTTACATGATGCTGAACAACACATACAACATACTCAAAACTTTCACTACAACAGTAAACAATGGGCGGCAGACCTCCAGAGAGGAGAGGTTAGCGAAGGCAGAGGCTCCCAGCGAGGCAAGCTTGTTGTTGGCTAGCAGGAGGGAGCGGCTCCCCGGAGGCAGGATGTGAAGGGGAGGCAGGGACGAGAGACCCCGGCCTCCGCAGTCCACCAGGCCATCTGAGTAGCAAAGACAGGGAGGAGGGCAGGAGGAGGCTGCTGGCAGCAGCGCTGCCAGGACGCAGAGGACACAGAGGAAGACTTCAGGAGGAAAAAGAGGAGGAAAGAGAGAGAAGAAACGTGATTATTTAGTTTTTCCAACAGATTTTCTTTTCAGTGTGGAGACCAATCAGGAGGATGCAGGTGCAGAAGGACTACAGAGAAAGTGAGAGAAATAGGCAGATGCATGAAGAGGAATGAATTGAAAGATGGAGTGGTTTTAAGAGGAATTTATTTCCAGAAATGAATCAGAAGAATCAGTTTGTCATTTGCACTCTTAGACACAGAGCAGTATGCAAAATAGTCAACAAAAAGGCGCGGCGAGGGAGGAAACAGCAGCTCAGTCCTAATGAAATACCTTCCTATGCCAGAGGCAGTTTTTATATGCTATTTAAATGCTGGAATTACACAAGAAATTTCCATTTCCACCATTTTGTACCACAAAACAGGGGTTTTCATGGATGTTTGAACTTTGAGAAACCACACAGAGGTCTGAGTCTGCTTGTTCATGTGGTCAAAAGTTCATAATTTTGTTTGTGTTTCTTGCCCCTCTGACTAGTGTTTCCATGGCGGCAGTCTATTCTGATTCTGCAGAGTCACAAAACCAAAAAAAAACTAAACTTGTGTTCACTGTTTACTTGTGAGTATGCCTGGCTTTGTCTTTTCTTGTCTTTCTCTGGTGTGGTGTGTGTGTGTGTGTGTGTGTGTGTGTGTGTGTGTGTGTGTGTGTGTATCTCACAGCAGTCTGAGTGACACTCATGAGGGAAATCCCCTCTCTTTTATTTCATTTTCAACTCATTGTTTTCCTGCAGACTCCAGTCATTTCAGCATTTCTACTCATTATCTCTGTTTCTTACCTCTTTTATTCTGCTTTAAGTTTGGGTGACTGGTTTCCTCTATAAAATGTTTTTTCTTCCATCTTTCATTTTTCACGAATGTTCTGTCTTTATTTGCATCTATCAGTTCAGGCCTTTTCATTCATCCCTTTTCATATTTATTTATGTCTCTGCCTGCCTGTCTGTCTTGGCATCTGCCCATCTCTCTCCACTCTGTAATTCTCTCTCTCCCACTTGAGTCTCTTTATCTTTCTCATTCTCTTTCACTTGGAGTCCCTCAGCACTGCTCTGTATTCCCTCAGTGTCTTGTTACAGTGGCTGACTTTGTTTCCATCCAATGGCTTATCAGCACGACTTATGCTTTATCTCTCTGTGTATGTGTGTGTGTGTGTGTGTGTGTGTGTGTGTGTGTGTGTGTGTGTGTGTCTGTCTGTGTGTGTGTGGGCATATGCTTGTGCGTCTGTGCATGTGTGTGTGTTAAGCACCAACAAAGCGTGATATTAAGAAAACTACTCTGTCTAAATTCCAGACACAGACACAGCACTCTTTACTTTCCGACAAGACTCTTTGCTTCACCAGCAGATTTCATCACTTGCATCATCTGCATATTATTAGCATCTATTTCGCAGCTTGCCATTGCCTTTTGTCACACCATGTCTCACCCGCTCCCTGTTGTTGTATTTTCTCTCTCTTAGTCCATCTGTTTTTATCTAAATTTGCTTTCTCATTTTCTCTCTGCTTCCTCTCACTCAAGAATTAATTCCCTTTCACCACACATAACGGCCGTCTGCCTCCGAGTGTGATGAAACTCAGTGAAACAGCCCTTTATTGCCCAGCCCACACTGTGATAAGTTTAAAAAAAAAAAAAAAAACGTGATGAATATCGGAAGATATGAGTGACTGGGTAATGAAAGTCATATCATTCTTCTAAAGTAACTTGACTTTCCTCAGGGCCCTTTGTATCTCATGACTGATAAAATATGAAGCTTGAAATGGTCCAGTGAGAAAGAGAGTTGAGAGGATGCTTTATATTTTTCCATTAAAATCATGTTTTATTCCCTTTAAACTGGTCATAAATAGACTTCCAGTGAGAACAGAATGTCAAAAAATTGCAGTTTCCCCACTGGATAGACAGTGATAAATGATGAGTAATGCATTCAGAATGGTAACAGGGGCTGCATGATTTGAGAAAAAAAAAAAGTATTTAAAGAGTATATTCAGCATAATTACAAACATGACATTTATAGCTGTTTTTCAAATATTTTGATTTGTTATAGTAGGAAAAGCACTGTCAGACGATGGCTTTGTTCTATTCCAGTGTCACAGTAAGCCAAGACAGTGTGACAGCCAGCATGCACAATACCAGAACCCTGAAACTGAAGCAGCTCAATTAATAAATAGAAAATGATCCTAATCCTACTTGAAACTTTCCATGGGCATTAGAGATTGTATGACAGTACAATTGAAACCTCTAAAAACTACATTGTACAGTGAGAAAACACACTAACAACAGTGAGAAATAGCATCTCTTCTCAGACAGTTTTTACCTGCCAGACAGAACATGAGCTCCCTCAACCAGGACACTGCTTCATTTAGCATTCTGAAACAAAAAGGTTCAGAGAGTAAAGACTGTGGCCTTGTGTGATAGATCAGTGTGTGAAGTCTCTAATGCTCCTGTATCCGTTATCCTCTCTGCTCCATCCTACAGTATAATCCTAATCTCTAGGAAAATTAACTTCATAAATGGAAGAAAAGGAGTGATTTTGGAATATCCTGAAGCGGCCTGTGTAGTCTTGCTTTGTGGTGGAAATGCTTCAGAGGGCCAATCTTTCCCTGAAGCAGCTCAGTAGGAATCCAGAGGATTTTGCTGCACAGTGGCTGTGAATTTTCCATAACAGGTTTGAAAAGGTACAGTAGTGCTGGAGATTTGTGAGGACAATGTAGCTCAGAGGTAGAAGCACTGTTACACAACTGAGAGTGAAAGAGAGCAGAGGAAAGAGAAAGTGTGTATATTTTTCTGCTTCTCCCTCACATCATGTAAAATTTCAAATTATGGTCATCTTTGTGCACCATTCATCTCTCTCAGCCTGCGATATGGGCTTTATTTTAAAAAAAGTGTTCTATTTCTCCTGTCTTCCTTTCCTTTCTCGTCACCACAACCCCTATCCTCTCTCCTCTTTCTCTTACTGTACATTATAACTCCCCCTCCTCCCTCAGTGCCGAAGCCCATCTTCCAACATTTATGAGTGGTTTTTAGATGTTCTCGTGGAGGAGGTGGTTGTTGTTTTGGCTTATTTTAGCTGTTCCAAATCCTCTCTGCTGTAGCGCTCCATGCAGCCAAACCAGAAGGAAAAATATTCAGCCACAGGAAGATAGAGAGGTTCAGTCCAAATAAGTTTAAGTGGTTATGTGTAGTTTAATTCAGTCCAAACAGACTTCAGACTGAATCTTTTATGAGAATCCCCAAACACGTAAAAGTGCTGACATTTTTGGCAAATGTAGGCTGGCAATGCTCTCAGAGATGGGAAACAAACTAAGACAAGACATTAAAATGCAACAAGATGTTCCTGTTTGATTGAAGCAAGACTTCTGAGGCAACTCTTAGAGCAGTACTACCCATAAGTCTCCCAACACCCCCATCTAGTTGTCAGAAGTGAAGAATGTACAGTCCAAGCTGTTCAAGATTAGGCAATATTAATAATCAGTTGGAGTAAGATCACATTTTAGAAGTCTTGCTGTCTTTGTCTCATTTTCCAGCCTGGTTTGTTACTTTTAAATTGCACATTAATCAAGTTAATGATGAATAGAGCTATTACATAAACTTTCTGTTATTGCCCATTTGGAGGAACTTTCTAAGTGTGTAACCGCACAGCTTTCTTTCAGCTTGCATGGTAACACCCATGTGCAGTCTGTTATTTAGTTTATCCATCTGTACAAAGTTCCTGGATTATAGTATTATGCATACATACATCAATCCTCATAGACACATACATCTCTTTTTAACTACTGTAAATGTGTCATTCTTACTTTCTTAGTAGGCACAAAACCTAAACTAGATTAAACTAACTCTGGTGTCATATGATTCTTGTTGTCCTGCTGATGTTTGACAGCGTCTCCTAGGCAACACTGCTTGACAACTCTGGGGCCTCAGCTGTCTGTAAGTTTATATCTAGGGGCCCCTGGGTGACACTGGACCCAGCTATGATGTCATCACCACAGGCACTTCTGTTACTGAGCCCAGTTGCATGTTACCAGGGGCCAAGCTGTTTTCCATGCAATCAACAGACTCGCTGCTATCTTATTACTAGTAAGACCAGCTGTCCTCTTTGCAAGACTCGCCTGTATTTCTTAACTCTTTAATGTTTCCCTTGGTCCTCGGTGCAGGGTTCTGGTCCAATTATCTATCCTGCTGCTGCAACAGCAGAGAGTTTAGATTTGAGTCCTGTTACTCCAACACCAGATACATGAAATAATACAAAGTTACAGTATGCCTTCACTTGCATATAACAACCCTTGAATATCCTTGGTGGGAATTGTTACTGTAAAATAAAAAACATACAATTAATAGTAGTGCTCAAATGATTTCAGCTTTTCAAATGTATGGCTTTTCTGCTTCTCTCTGTTTTATATCATTGTAAAATGAGTGTCCTTGCTTTTTGAACGTACGGTTGGAACAAAACAAGAAAGAAAGAAAGACCTAACCTTGGTCTTTAGAAAATTGTAACAAGAATTTTTCTCTATTTTCTGACTTTCTGCAGACTTAACAATACAAAAAGCAAAACAAGAAATTATTTTCAGATTCACCAGTAATGAAAAAAATCTTTAGTTGCAGCCCCAATCAACAGTCAAGGTAGTTCATAAACTTAACTTAATAAACTTAAGGGTACCATCATTCAAAATGTTGTCAACTCAATAAAATAAGACCAATGTGTATCAACCTCCTGAAGATCAACTAAGACACATAATCGATATGTGTTAATGCTTTCAACTGTATCCTAAAAATTATAATTTGTCATATATGATTTATTATCTCCCATCTATATTATCTCAACACACTGTGTAGCCTGTTCTTCTACAGCAGTAGTGTCTGTGTAATTTGTCAGAGGCTGTTACCGTACATGTCTGATCTCCACTGTAACCCGAGACCTCATTTAGTTAGCAGATGGAAAATAGCCAGCCAGAGTGTGTGTGTGTGTGCTCGACTTG